GACAAAAGTAAATAAGTAAACTTAAACGAAAGTTATGTCTCAGTCTTTGTAGAAAGATTCAGATGCCGGCACTATGAGAGCAACAAAAGTACTGTGAGGGTCAGTGACATCTGTTGTCAAATTGCAAGCAGTAACACTGTAATGTTGCACGTTTGCGTAGCTTAAATTTACCCTAAAATGAAAACCAATTAAAAAAAATTTTCCAACCATTTAGAAAATATACAGCAGCATATAGAAAATTGTGAAGGAATTTTTTTTCTTAAGAAAACGCCGAAGAGAAATAAAAGCAGATATACGTTGTCAATTGAAATAAATAAACCTATGTTTAGTGGAAGAAAAGATATCTTCTAGCAAAGAAAACCTTTGGACTTCCATGCTTTTTTCCTCTTTTTAATTGAGCTTCTCCTTTCTTTTTTTCCAATTGTTTTTTGTTGCGCTCAAATTTTAACGTTTCAAAAAAAACGATGAACACAAAAAGGCAGAAAAAAAGAAAAGAAAGAAATAAAAACGCAAAAAATTTGTCGATAAAAAATCAAAAAAAAAAAGAGAAAAAAGAAAAAAGAAATTGTATTCAACAAGATTATAGATTCCTTAGAAGATCCAATAATGTTCACTTTACTTAAGTGATACCAACTATCATAAGCCTGAAATTTAAAACGACCATCTGGTAAGAAAGCCAAAAACTTCCTAGCCATTTTTTTTCTTTTCGCATCAAATACTGCGCTAAAACAACAATGGCAACAATCACCGCAGCAAAAATAACGGTCACAAAAACACCGTTGACGTACCACATACAGATAAATTGTTTTAACAATTCTTTTGGTTAATAAAATCTCGCGAATAAAACAGTAATTGCTAAGCACGGCCCAAAAAAATTTTTTTTGATTGACGACAAAAGACTCATTTAAAGCAATCAAAAAGACGAAGACAACTGACCTTCAGAAAAGTTATATCCGTCTACGACAAAAAAACAATGCCTAGCAGCGGCCTGAGATTTTTATAAAATTGCCTGCCTCCTTTTGCTTCTACTTTTGTTTATCTGCTATCTGATTCCAGAGAAAATGGTTCTGACTTGAAAATCTTAACTTTGCTGAACTACATCATCAGAAACTAAAGGCAACTGAATCATCAACCTAAATTTTCCATCGTAATGTCTGTCATCTAAACGCTGGGTAATCATAAGTTATTTAAGAGAGTTTTACCATGCCATCTGTGTTTAAGTTGCACTTTCCTGAAGTATCTGTTCACTAAAAAAGATAAAAAAGGAAAATCTGTCAACCATTTTTATGACAGAGTATTCAAAATTTAGCTTGGCAGTTTCATAAACACCGGTGATATACATTTGAGTAATCACCAATGTACTAGTGATGCTTCCATCAGTTTGACAGTCTATTGCCGCTGATAAAATTTGTTTCTTCTATTTGAAAATTTTGCTTGACAAACTGATCTCTCTAAAAATGGCACAAAACGGTTATAGGGTTTAACTGATTGACAACAACATAGTGAGATAAATAAAACACAGATGTTGATTTGCAATTTTTGTACATTTCTGATACATCTTGCCGATGTTAGCAGGCACTAATGTGAAATTATTAATGCTGTAACTGTTTATTCAAATAACATTGTCATTAAAAATCCTCAATAAAATTTTCTCACTTAACTAGCATTAAACAACCTCACTAAACATAACAAATTCTTCGCGACTTGTGCTGTAACATCGGGAGAAAGGAGAAAGATGGAGAAAGAAGGAGAAAGATCCTTTGCAGGAGAAAGATCTATAAACTATAGGTGACAAGTTGGTAATAATAGCACTGCAGAAGACGGAAGAATATGCAACTAAACAAGGAGAAAGAAAATTTTAGTAGTTTCAGTATTTTCTTGAACTGTTTTTATTATGATCCAATCAGTAAAAGTGGCAACAACGGCAGCAACAGTAGCAGCAGCAGCAACAAAAACAAGAACATTAACAAGAAAATCGGTTGATTTTCTGACGTTCCAGACGTGCAGTAATTTTGCACTGATATCGTCACACCAATATCAGCATGTAAAATATTTAGTTATTTAGATAAACCACCAACAACTGCAACAACTGTTGGCCTGAGAAACTGCACAGCAAGCCGCTTTGTGTGAATACAGTTTGAAAACTGTATAAAATAAAACAAGCAGCAATGCATTGACAGTCTGAAAGAATATCGGTTACCATATCCATTGGCAAACCAGTGAAGATTAGCCTTTTAAAGTGCAAAAAATTTTGGTCACTTAATTGCTGTTACGTCTTGGGTATAAAAAATAAAAAGAAAACTGTTTTTTTCAGAACCAAATATGACAAAAGAAAATATTTGAAAAGCCAATCTGAAGAATGAGAAAAAATTTTTATTGTAAGACAGCAAAATGTTAACTAATATGAATTCTGCAGATTATTTTGGAAAAGAAATAGATTAGCAAAAAATAAATTGGAGAGGATACATAGAATAAAGACAGCAGCAGCTACAACAATGTTAAGGAGACAAAAATGTGTCGTTTTTTAGAAATGAAATTTCAAATTTTTTCTTTTTTTGCTTTACTTCAATGTATATTCCATTTGAGAAAATGTTTAAATATTTCTCTGTTCATACACATAAAAACATCATTTTCTTCCACGTTCTTTTTCTCTCACATCACCAACTCACCCTTCTCCTCTTCTCCAAATTCCATTCTGCAAAAAAACACTCATCTTCAGCTTTTCAGGAAACGAAATTTGATGCTTTTCCCAATAACAACGACGACAACGACAAAGACAACGAAATGGGAAGAATTTAAAGGTGCATACACTTCTCTCCTCTTCTATTTTCCTTCGGTATTTTCGTTACATTTTGAAAGATATTGCAGTAAAAAACTTTCTGATTTTTTGTCCTAAGTAAAATTATGAAAAACAGAAATAAAGAA